TATTCCTGCAGTAGTGCCCTCTGGTTCAGGATATGTAATTTCAGAACCCAGCTCGAATCCAACAGGCATATGTCCACCCAAAAAAAACATCTAAGTGAAAACATGAAACCATTAACCTTTAAGTGCCGAAGTGCCCAGTTTGCGCCAGTCATGAGTAAGGTCGTCATGCCCAAAGTACCCCGTTTTGTCCAGTCAAGCATTTAAACTCCGCTAGTGGAAGCGCGCGCACACGCCGCTAGTAGAAGCGCATGCACATTCCTAAATATTTATTTTCAAATGTAGTAATTACCAGACTTGAGTAAAACCCTAATAGAGGAATTAAATTAATACCTAACTGAACAACAGCAAATAAAAATATACGTATGAGTTATGCCAAAACTTATCCACGATCGAGTAATTTTATTGCAGATTCTGCAGATAGGTATGTTAAAAATATATTGTAAAATTTGATGTACATACCTTTTTTGTTGTTACCTGCTTGATGTATATACAGTTTCAAATAAAACTACCGTATTCAATTTCACTACGAACGCACACAAAACAGATCGCGCTCTGTATCTCAGCCACGATGCAGCTGTCTGTTCACTCAAATAGAAGGGGCAATAAGCTTTTGCAGTTCTAACGGAAGGTTTTAGCACTGAAGAAGGGACCCCTCTAGCTTTCTCTTGAATAGCCATTCTTTCATTCTTCTGACCTTCAGTCAAAGATTCGAAAATCCGAAGGGTGTAAGCAGTGCTAGCAGAAGACCAAATGATTTTANGGAACAGACATTTAAACGCAAGGGAGCAACGGGCATTTAAACGAGCACCAGCAGCGGGCATTTAAATAAACTCCGGCCAGCTCAAGTTTACCACTATTTCGAAGTCCAGCGTTTAAAGGTTAATATATATTTTGCAGTGGAAGTCCAAAAGTGATTAGTCTTTTCAACAAGCAGTAAACAAATGAGCCATCCAAATGAAAAACGAAAAAGATGACCTATTTTTGGCAGTCACCATTAAGAATTAGTAGTTGCAATGCATATGATTTCAGTGTTGCTTTCATACTTTTAAGAAGATTTGATATTAACCTGCATCCTAACTTGAGTTTCAATTAAGTATTCAAGCTGGTCATCTTACCCAACAAAAGATGATGTTATGTAAACAAGAATTTTAGATCCAAGTCCTAAAGTGAAGGTAAAAGCCAACATGCCCAATGCTGAAAATCCATATACAGCAACTGTAGTTTCCCTGTGAGAGAAATTAATTTATCATAGGTCACAAATATGTTTTATTCCTTGGACCATAAAAGTTTTAATTAAAGAAATTCATCAGTATTGATATGAGGAGCTTACAGACACATAAAATGCTGTTTAATCTTTGTCAGAGCAGTTTGTTATTTCAGTAAATAAACTCTTGAATGTAAAAACAAAAGATACATGAGGGACAGACCATAGACCCCGTTACACGAAATCAGTACATAATTCGGTGAACTGTAAATCAACTTAATTGGAATATTGTTACTTAGAAATGTCTGCATGGTAATGTTCTTGTATTCTGTAATGAGTCTGGAAGCATGTTTATGAATAAAACATTCTGTACCACAGTGTCTACCGTTTTTACTAACCCTAGGATGTGAACTGTTTACAATACAAGCTAACATTATCAAATATTATAAGAATTGCCACTCTGAAGAACTCAGTTTTCTGGGATTTGGCACCGTGTATATGTGGTTTTAACCGACGTGTCGGAGGAACGTATCGCCTCCATCTTCAGGGTAGAAGAAAAAATATAAGAAATCTGCAAGCAAAGAAACCGTGAGAAACGGTCTGCAGATGGAGGCGATACGTTCCTCCGAAACGTCGGTTAACACCACATATACACAGTGCCAAATCCCAGAAGACTGCATTCTTCATAGTCACCGCCGTGAAAGCCTCAAATCTTACAAATTGCCACTCTGTTAGAAGTTGTGTTTAATAATGATAATGCTAAAATTTTTGCACATAGTTAAAACATTTCAAAATTAAAGATTCAGTAATAAAATATTAAAAACATTAATTTTCTGCCACCACGTATGGGATATGTCTGATTTCCATCACTCTCTAATGAGATTACAACATTATTTCATGTTATGTTAACTTTATTTATAATATACCAGAGACTGGCTATTTGAAATCAGAGAAAGTGACAAAATTCTTCCCACAGCAGTTAGTGTTTATCAAGTAAGACTGACTTACTTGAACTTGTGTGTCTTGTCTAGTATTATTCCAAAGATAACAGAGCCCACCATTCCTCCAATCACAAACACTAAGCCAACTTTTCCTGCAAACTCCTCTCCACCCTGAAATAATTACAAATATGACTGAGTGGAAAAGAAAAACCCTGCTTCATCGCCAAATGCATAGTGCTTTGGATATGTTCAACTGGCAGTGTGATTATTTTGTTTTATTTCTTTAACTGGCTTTAGAGCAAATCAAACGCTCAGCTTATCAAGCCTCCCCAAATCAGTTATATTTCTTATTCCACCATCTCTCATTAGACCCCCTGGCCTGTTCTGATTCATAATTTATTCTAAGATAACTGATCCTATGAAATTGATGTGTGGACTATATTGAACTGGCTCAGGACCAGTTGGCTGACTCTTTTGATACATCGTAATAAGTAAAGCATATGTTCTTATAGGTTTTAAAGCTGTATAGTTTTGAAAGAGCCTGACATTTCAGAAGAACATGTCGCCTCCATCTTCAGAGTTCAAAGATTAAGGCAAACAAGAAACATCACAGAGTAGGCAGCAAGCAGAACTGCCTGCTGCTTGTGGTTTTCTTGCTCAAGCTCTTAAGCTGCAGAAATGGTGGTGTGTTCCTCTGAAGCGTCAGCTTTTTCCAAATCACAGTGTTACTCCTTAGAAAACTGTATTATTCGTATGAGTAGTCATTGCTGTCAGAACCTCACATTCAGTGGTAACAGATCTTCATTTTCCACGAATATCAGAGAATTTCTTCAGCTGCCTACAGCTGAAGAAATTGAAGTGGGGTTCACTCCAGACTTGGCTTAATGTATATCTTAATGCTTGAGAATACCAATTAGAATTTAGAATATTCTATCCAAATTAATCAATTTTTTTTTTTGGCTTATCCAGAAAGTTTAGTGAGTACTAATGACTGGTAGATATTAACAATTTGCGGGCCGCGGACCCTTTAAAAGTTTTTTCGCTTTTAAACGTGGTGAACTGGTATTATGCTTTTAGGACACGTTAGGTTGTAACACACTATACCTTGCTCTAGCGCTACGCAACTGCAATGAATATTGCGTAATAAATCTTCGGAATGTATGCTAGGTATTCAGTAATTTGACCTGGGTGCCTAGGGTCCCTACTTCAAACGGAAATAAACTTTGTCCCTTTCAGCTGTTTATGTACAAGGCAGGAAGTTAGTAGAGGGGAATATGTTTCAAGGACAAAAGAGGTTGAAGGCAAGCGATTTCTCTGACTTCTTTTCCAATGAGCTATCTGACATGCCTTGTGGAGGAGTAGTGATTAGTGACTCAGACAGTGGAAGTGACTGGGGTCAACAAAGAATTGTTGCCACAGATAATAAAAGTGAAAGTTGCCTTGTGGCTTATAAATTGTGCCTTTTTCAATTCATTTTTGGTTTACAAAAATCTAAACTCTGATTCTAATTTGAAATACAAAGCATTTGCGATGAATGTGGCAAAAGCTTGGGCTGCAGACCAGATGGTGGTGGCAGAACCAAAGTCAGACAGACTTATTGCGACCTAGCGCATCAACTCCCACCCAACGCAGGCCTCATGTGGACACCCCTGGGCGACTCTCGGGTGATATGCAGAAACATGCCCTCGTGAAAATTGTGAAGAGTGAACATTCCAAGGGGAAGCATCCTTCTAGGCAATGCCGTGTTTGCGCAGTTCACAAAAAAACTACGACTCTCTACATTTTCAAGTGTATAATGTCACTTCACAAAGGGGAATGTTTCCAGAAATATCACATTCTCAAGCACTTCTAGGAGCATTGGTAAGTTTTCTCCAAAAATTGTAGTTTAAAAATTAATTAGGAGACTTTATATTAATTTTTAAAATGAACAGTGCACAAGTTAGGGTAGTAGGTATAAAAAAGTCAGCCCCCAGGGTGATTTAAATACTTAAATCGCTGGTACGCAAAGTGTTAACAATGTTTGCACAACAGAATTGTTCTCGTATCTCTGGTCTAAGGTCAGTTAGAAATAATCCCACTTAGCTTATGAGTAAAACAGTTGTCTGCCTCTGGAATAGATATTTGTACATTACACACACATATACCGGGAATTAAGACAGTACAAGTTGATTAGGCAGCGTGCTGAGTGAGTTGATTACTGCCACTGCCAGACCATAAGTGAAGAGGAGCAGAATGAAGCCACGGTTTTCCAGTAGCCTCTTCACTCCCAAGAAGAACCCATTCTTTCTCCATGCAGCCTGTAACTTGAGGGCCTGCTCTGGACTTGGTGGTAAGGGAGGTGCCGCTTTGAAAACTGAGTATTTAACATAAATAGTGACAAATAAAACCACAACATATGATGCAGTGTGCTCAATCTGTAGGTTCACATAGGTATTAAATAAAAGGAATACAGGAGGATGGAGAAATGATGTAATGAAGAGCTTCACGAGTTGTACTCTGCACAAAATATCACTAGGGTGGTCAAATCAAGGTTGATAACATGGGGATTACATGCAACTTGCATGAGGGAAGTAACAAACACACAAGTTGGTTAGAAAATCTTAAAGACATGAACTAGATATAATTGTCTCAGGACGGAATCCAGTGACATGCAAATATACTTTCTGTTGCCAGTTTCTTTTAATTTTTAAGCAGTTTAAGCAGGTTCATATCTTAGCACCTAGTAGTACATATTCTACAGTCAACAACTTACATGCTATGACCAGTATTAATACAAATGTACCGGCTCCTGCAGTGCAGTTGAACATCAGTGAAAGATCTGAACCAATCTCTTCAACATCATCATGATTCTTCACGAATATTGGTGGCAGGAGGAATCCGGCTGCCATTCCCAGCTGCAAACACAATTACTGTTCATTAATTTAAATGTAAATACACACAAAATGAGCGTTCTTGAACCATCTGTTGCAATATTAAGGCCTGTTTCAAGTAAGAAATGATTCTTGAAAGTTGATATCCTTTTTCTCTGAGCTGAACACATATTGCATTATCATCCTGAGAAGTTTGATGGTACATGTATTATTATACAGAACAAAGGACATTACCATTCATACATTTTGTTTCATATGGTTGGCTTAACCGAGAGCAGGGATAGCTCAGTCACTATGGTGACTGGCTACGGGCTGGATGACAAAGGGGTCAAGAATTTTCTCTTCTCCATGTCACTCAGACCAGGTCTGTGGTCCACCCAACCACCTACCCAATGGGTACCAGGGGCTTTTTCCCTGGGGGTAAAGCAGCAGGGGCGTGAAATCGACCACTCACCTCCAACTAGTGCTGAGGTCGGGAAAATGTGGATCTATACATCCACTCCCCCATACACCTTCACAGCATAGTGCTTAATTAGTTAAGCACGTACAATTTTACCTTTACCTATTGCTGGAAAGAACAACCCATAAGATATAGTCTTTATTTAGTTGTAGCTGCTCTGTAATTTAAGAGGGGAAATCTTGCAGGTGTGGAGCAGGATACAGCAAGTCGAACTGAGAAAATGAATAAATTGCTCCGTGCTATAAAATAAAGGAAGAAAAGTTTAAATAGTAGGTTTCGTGATCTCTGATGATTCTGGCTTGGACAACAGTAATAAGGGCATAATGACAGACATGGCAGATAGAAAGGCGGCTAACAGTTGAACTGATACAGGAGACAGTTACAAATGCTTTAACGGTTATTGTAACCATACATCCCCTCGCCAAAATTATGTAATTAAGGGTATGAACAACATATGCATTATTTAACACCATGAGAGACGCTCGTCCGGCGAGATACCATCCCAGGACCGTATAGTTGTAATTCAGCTATAGTTCTCCTCAGGCTTCGGGAGTCACTATTGTCCCTTACGTCGTCAGTTTACTCCCAGTATCATAAACCCATGAACTGACCTTGTGTGAGACCGGCCAGGAGGGGTCTTGGGTTCCCTGCAAGTGTGCCTTGAAGACCTAAACAATTTATGGGCTTCTCTAAAAATGTAGGACAGATGCCGGGCTCGACCCTTGGCTTTCTCTTTTTATTTTCTCGTTCTTTAGGCCAACTGGGGGACCTGTAAAGGGAGGGTAGTCGGTTATAGGGAGCAGAGGAGGACAGTTGTTGAAATGTAGACAGAGAATAGAGAAGTGTGTTACAGTAGGAGTAGTGAGTAGGGGGATGCTAGCTAGGAGGACAGTGTAAATATTGATCTTTGAATGAAATTTTAAATTAAAACTGCAATAGTCGATGTTCTGGAGCCCCGGATTCATGAACCCCGAATTGTGTTCCACTCCCATCTCCCAAGCACCCGTATCCTGAGAAAAAGACCTCTAGCTTGAGCGAAAGTCGTGGCAGCTGTACATCGACGGACAGCTACATTATCTTCAGAGTTCAGGCTCACAAATATTGAAGCACTGATTTTAAAGTTCTGAAGTATTTCATTTTTAGTATCAAGTGTTTAGATTATTACTATAATCTATCCACTGCTGATTAGACTAAAGTCTCATGGATTGTAACTTACAGAAACAAATTATGCATTTCTGATTTTTTATACTACTTCCATACAAGGCAATGAACAGTTTTCTTGTTCAAAATATATTCCTTCTTCACTGGCAGATTTCTATTGACAGGAAATAGCAGCCTTATTGCTGCATTATGAAGATCCTTAATGCACATTTTCAGTAGAGTTTGCTCCCAAACGTTGCTTATGTTACTTTCATTTTTAATATGATTTAAAAAGTGGCTGTCCACCACGTGTGTACGAAACCTGTGTTGAGTACATTATCTGCACTGTGAAAAATATTATCTTGATGCTCTTTTCAGTACTGTTCCTACACAAGCAATAGTACTGCTACAGTACTTGTAATTTCTGCATGTATCACAGAACATTCATTAAATCGCCTACTGGTAATATACAACTGTGCTCAAGTTCTTTTCAGGAGTGCACAAAGCAATGTTGATGTTTCCTTAGCCAATCTCCAGATGCAACACCCCTTCTGTAACTTCCACACTAGTGACCTCAAAAAATCGATACATCTCATTCGAAAAGATTATATGTACTTGCAGATTATATTACTTCACATACCCAAGCAAACTGTTGCTGCACCGTGGCAAGGAAGTCCTTTTGTAAGAAAATTACAGTACATCTCTTTCTCCCAACATTGATCCATTCCCACTTGCCCTTTTGGACATTTTNTTATTTTATCATGTATCCTGTTCAGGTCCATGCTCAATAATATGTGTCAAGTTCTTCTTATAAAATATAAGTTAAAAAACATTTAACATTTGTTTTAACATTTGTATTTTTAACTTATATTTTATAAGAAGAACTTGACACACATTATTGAGCGTGGACCTGAACAGGATACAGGATCAAAATATGTGGAAAAACGAATGTGATTGCGTGTGATTGTGCAACTGTGTTCGTATACCTGAGGATGACCTCTTGAGGTCGAAACATGTAGTGTGACAGTAAATAAAAACGTGTTGTGTGGTCGGTAAAATTAACTCTAATATTGATAATTCAAATGTTATGAGCTTCACCGAGGCTCAGTTTACTATAACTTTCTTTCTACGTAAACCAATTTTATACTTTAGTGCCTATGGATGATCACTGATTCCATACCTGGTGTAGCTTATTACATGTAATTTGTTAACAAGAAATTAAGAAATAAATCTGAATGAAATAAAAATAAAACAACGATTCATTTCATGAATGATGAGAAGTCATATTCCTATCTAACACCTACAACTGTTTAATAGAATTATGTTTCATCAGAGCTTTGATAAGATGTATGGTGCAATCAGAAATGAAGCACAGTGCTTATAAAAATAATTTATGACATGTTGAAGATAACATTTTATATGCATAGGGTTTCCTAGAACGAAACGAAATATTCTCCATCTTACTCTATGGACTAAGGTAGTGTTTCCAAACTATGTTCTGGCAAGATAATAGTGCTCTGCAAGCTGGGCTAAGGAGTTCTACTACTGTAATCTCAAATGGCGGTCTTTACCATGTTTTTCACAGAAAACATAGTTAGTGGATAAAGTTTCCTCAATTTTGCACATTCTCACAATCTGTTAACATGAATTAACTTTTGTCCTATATGCATACTTTACATGCTTGCTACCATTCAGTCCAGAACCTTTTGTCTTCTCATCTGCTGTCCAAAAACATAAAAATTAGAATATACAAAACTATAATTTTGCCTGTTGTTCTGTATGGGTCTCTGACATTAAGAGAGGAACATAGACAGGGTGTTTGAGAACAGGGTGTTGAGAATATTTGGACCGAAGAGAGATGAAGTGACAGGAGGTTGGTGAAAATTACACAATGAGGAGCTTCATAACTTGTACTCTTCTCCAAGTATAATTAGAATGATCAAGTCAAGGAGGATGAGGTGGGCAGGGCATGTGGCACGAATGGGGGAGACGAGGAATGCGTATAGGATATTGGTGGGAAGGCCAGAAAGAAAGAGACCACTGGGAAGACCTAAGTGTAGGTGGGTGGAAAACATTAAAATGGATCTTAGAGAGACAAGATGGGATGGTATGGATTTGATTGATCTGGCTAAGGATAGGGACCAGTGGAGGGCTCTTGTGAACACGGCAATGAACCTTTGGATTCCATAAAATGCTGGGAAATTCTTGAGTAGCTGCAGAATTGGCGGCTTCTCCAGAAGGGCTCAGCCCCATGAGTAAGTAAGTAAGTAAATAAGTAAGTATGCATAATTTGTTTTACAGGGTGAATCGTATAGAACCGGCCCAATGAATTTGCCAATAATTCCGCAGGTGATGCATATAACCGCTCACAATTACGACATAATAATCCGTGGGCCCTGCTGAGTCGAATATACACCACTACACCCACAAAAATTGGGTTTTTGG